TTGTAGGAGGAGGAGGCCTTCAACGCCCGTGCCTCTGCCATCATCTTCTGGATGGTCTTAAAGTCGAGGCACACAGACATCTTCTTATTAACGTTGTCTGCAAAGAGTGAATGATGAATTAGTACAAGTGTTGAGAGTTCAGAATAAAGGGTAAAGACTTCGGTCCAGTTACCTTGGGATGCCATCAGATCGTGAGTAATGAAGTGGATGTTCTTTCGGATCAGCCTATGGTAAGACCTCTTCTTTTGAGGCAGCTGATAAATGATGCAGATGGTTTCAAAGTCCTCGGATGATAGCTCGCACCGAGAAGAGCACCTACAAAGGAAATGTAAATGTTAGGCACAATTCGAACCGAAGAGAAATATAAGGAAAAACAACTACTATACTCACTAAGTGTTGAGTACTTCGTCGAGACCGTAAGAGGCGATGGGGGGTCCCCCTCCATCGTGTCTTATCGTCCTGCGGCCCAGAACCACGAGCTATTCCATTCTTTGATGGAGCTCGGTAGATCAAGCATGAATGGAGTGTGGGAACCCCATGAAGTAAGGTAATACCATCCCCGGGTCCTATCCCTCCCCCCCGGCAGTTGCCTTAGGTATATAAAGGGTCTGGAAGACGGAGAGGGGCATCTCCACCCCTAATGACGCCTCTTTCCACAACATCCAGGAACCCACCATTTGGCTCTAGGAGTTCGGATTGAGTTGCGTCGGGGTTAGCCCATAGGATCTAAGCACCATCCTAAAGAATGGGTGAATTGGCAGCCTAAGTCTGGCCCTAAGGATCGCCTCGCTAATGGCCACACAACCCGGCCTAAGTAGCAGGCTCTCTCTTCCGGCCCGGGGAGGATCAAATCTATGCTATCAGGGATCCTATACTCTGTCCTAAGTCTCCCCAGGTCGGCCTCTCTTAATTTGGATGGGTAGTCCGATGCCCCCCAATGCACAGAAGTATCTGCTGGGCTATCCGGTCGCTTCCATATATTTCTCCCCTATTATTGCCTCGGCTATTTCTAAGGAGGTCGCCACAATGGGCTCGTCCATCCTCACTAGTTCTAACCCCCTCCCCGAACCAGAACTCCCCTCCGAGTCCATTTTTTCAGAATTTAAAAGTCCTAAAAGGTACTGAAACTTACGAGTTTGAAGGTTTTCCTAGCTGGAAATGATGTAAGGTCGTCGGAAGTTCAATTTTCTCACCGAAATTGCTTAGAAAACGCCGGAAATCGCCAATAACTTGAGAGCAAAATATATTGTTTGTTTCGCAAGGGTAGAAAGCCTGAGAAAACCTCAGAGTCCTCCTTTTATAAAAAGACAAATCTGATCTCCACCATCGAATTCAAATGCGATCAATCTAAGCCGTTCATCGCATTTTCAATCTAGGCCGTTGAAATGAAACGCCAGATTTGATCTACGTCCAAGATGCCGCTGTGACATTCACGCTCGATTAAAACACATCACCTTAGTTACAACCAACCGTCAATAATAATAAGTAGCCGTAGTAGCCTTTTAGGAGAATGGGTATGGCACCCAACTGTCACCTTGGAAACAAGCAACAGTTATTAAATCATTTGACGTTTGAATCTCCTCGGATCGAGCTCCTCACTCAACTTTACAAAACTTAGACGCACTTGACGCGAACTCCCCTGTGGGTCATCACCTCAGACGTTGCGTTCCCTCCCATGCTTTACAAAGTTTTAGCCATCTCCCAATGCGTCAGCCCTGTGGGTAAGCGCACCAGTGGCAGATGAGCTCCTCACTCAACTTTACAAAGCTTGGACGCACTTGACGCGAAGTCCCCTGTGGGTCATCGCCTCGGACGCTGCATTCCCTCCCAAGCTTTACAAAGTTTTAGCCATCTCCCAACCCGTCGGCCCTGTGGGTCAGCGCACAGGTGGCAGATGAGCTCCTCACTTAACTTTACAAAGCTTGGACGCACCTGACGCGAAGTCCCCCGTGGGTCATCACCTCGGACGCTGCGTTCCCTCCCATGCTTTACAAAGTTTTAGCCATCTCCCAACGCGTCGACCCTGTGGGTCAGCGCACCAGTGGCAGATGAGTTCCTCGCTCACCTTCGCATACCCTACACGCACCTAGCACGAGCCCCCTCTGGGACATCGCCCCGGTTGTCATGTTAACCTCTTTTCCTACTAATCGTCCCGTCTTGTAGCGCTTTGACCTCACATCGGTTATTGTTTCCCTTACACAGTAACGAAACTGTGGCACATCTGTCTAGGATCATGACCTCGATTACTGCAAAAGATCAACCCCCAAACTTCCATGAGTCGCGGTCCCCAGTGCCGAGACATATACATCCGGTCAGGAAAGTAAGTCCACCCATGATATAAATATTCATACCTGGACTTGGGTGACCACTGTTACGCCCCTATCTGAACCACCTCGGAACGGGCGCCAACATATATTCCGACCTGATAAAGACCCGTCAGAAGTGATATCAGCAATGTCTGCAACCTAGTAGCACACTGCGAAGTAGAGGCGATCCCTACTACTGACCTGATCGAAGTACCTCGCCCCCGAGACAAAGGCCAAGTGGACCCCGGTTAGAAAATTCGCCGCCAATTTCAGAAAGAGATTTGTGCCAAGATCCTTCCTGCACCTAAGGTTAAATTGATTTGACGTCTCCATGAGGCTAGTTGATATGACTTATCAACTTTATGTCAATTCAATTCAGGAGAAACAAGCTGTCCGCCCACTCTACAGACGCGACTGATCGACGCCTATGAGCGGACACCTCATACCGTCAGATGTATACACGTGTCCCACATCCAACGGCTCTTCCCACCTATAAATACCCAAGGTTTGGCAAAAGGTAAATGTAATGAAACTCTTATTACATAGCACTCCATAGCAAGCTTATATATTTCTCCTCCCTCTTATCATTATTTTGCACAACCCCTGGGTATTGTTCCGACCACCTAAACCTGACTTGACCGTCGGAGTGTATACGGTCGCCACCACCCCCGCTGGTCCTGACCGTGTGCGTCTAACCGTTCGCTGATTGTGCGCATGGAGGAATACGTGGAGTAGCTCTCAGTTGGCCACATGGAAGGACCAATTTTCGAGGTTAACAATGACATAAGATATGATTATTGTGCTTGTATTGTGCTTTAAGCCCCCATTTGATCCCCATTAAATTAAATTAAATTATATTTTATTTTTCTCTCTCTTATTTCAACCACACAATCTCCCATAAAATGATATTACACGTAAATCGAAAACTTTTCTTTCTTTTTCAACCACTCATTTTTAAAAAAAATATTATTCCCCCTATTTTCATTTTCAAGTAATGGAGGTCAAACGGGGGCTAATTGTCTATGTGCTTGTTTATTTTCATGGACGTGGATACTTGTAGCATGTTCAATACATATTAAAAAGAGTGAATATAATTTTAACTTCTTTTTCTTAATACTATTCGATAATTTCCTATCCTTCCTCACAAACAAGCACAGATGGCGGCAAAGAGATTGTTTTGTCCTTCTTATACATGGTACATTGTAATTCACATGATGAATCAGATGTCTCTTGATCGCATATTTTGTCACCCGTGTTAGGGATGGCCGTGAGACTCATTTTCAATTTCTTAAAAAGTTAAGGATCCCTTCGTAGATGCAATTTTCAAGTAAGATTATGTGGATAAAAATATTTTCAAGAGACTTTTTAAATATAAAATACTCTTTATTTTAGAGAATCACTACTTAAAATTGAGCTCTAAAGAGAGTCTTTATTCTAACTTTTTAAAATACTTTATAATAATTGCATTTAATAAGCTACATTTTCAATACCTTATTTTTTTTAAAATATTCAAATCTCGTTTTAATTGAATGAATATTGACCTATAAAAATATATGTTAAAAAATTATAAGAAGAAATTATCAAATATTTTTTAGAAAAAAAAATGAAATAAAAAATACTTTTGGAGTGAATAAATAGATAGGATGCCTTTTATAAATAGAAACGCCCAATAATTTTTCTCAATTTCGTGTCTATATAGGATAGTGGACGAGCTTTGAGTGGGAATGCTCATTGCTGCCTTATTGTTAACAATTTCAGCTGTTGTTTGGCTACGTTAAACCAAAAATACATTTTCTCAAGATTGCAAAGTACAATTTCAAAATTAGGAAATTAATTTTATCATTTCAAAAATTGGGTCTTAATTATATTTTTTATGGTCATAATTACGTATTACTCACAATTACGGACGTTACAGTCGCATATCACAAAATTTATAGGTCATAATTTCTTTATCGATAACAAAATATCAAATTAATATGTCACATATTATTTTTCAATCACGAATTTTATAGATCACAATTTATTTTAAAGACACAAATAATCAAATTAATTGATTATGCATCTTTTTGGCCACGAATCACAAATTTTACAAGTTACATATAGTCACGAATATCAAATTAATAGGTTGTTTTTTTTTTTTTTTTTTGCCACAAATCACAACTTTTACAAGTCACAACTTATTTTACAATTGTAAATTATCAAATTAATTAGTTACATCTTTTTTTTGTTTTTTTTAAACCACAAATCACAACTTATTATCAAATTAATTTGCCACATGCACTCTTCAGTTCATCCCATGCCATCCCATTCACCCCTATCCCTGCCCCTTCCTCCACTCCAAAATAGTTGGTCACAAACATTCAAGTAATTGGTTACAAATATTTTTCGCCCAACCTTAACCCAATCCCAAAACTGACACCAATTAAACGTTTAGCCACCTCACCACCATTGTCTCCACCACAACCACTTGCTTCACTGCCATTTGCAAAACACAATACCAATTTCAATCACACATTTTTCGATAAAATAATATATAAATTTAAAATTTATTTCTACTTTTTAACTATAAATTCTCTTTAAAAAATTACAATTCAAAAGTACATTTTTCTCCCCAGCCTGTTAAAATGTAGCCAAACAAGAAACCAATTTTTTCCCCAATTTTTATTATAAATCAAGATTTTCTTGCATACTGTTACAGAAAGCAACTGGGCGAGAAAAGCAAGTTGAAGCTGAAGCTGAAGCTGAAGCTGAAGCTGTATTTGAAAATAGCTGCTACTCCCTGTGCTGCGTCCTTTGAATGAGTTTCCTGTTCCGGTTTTCCTTCTTCATCTGCTGCTCGTCTCTCCAATTCTAAGAAAAGAGGGTTTTTATTCTGGTACTCGCTTTCCCCCATTCAACCCACAATTAACGTTTAAATAATTGGACTTGCTTTCTCAGTTCCAAGCGTAAATGTTTTTGTATGAATCTTGCCTGAATTTTCTTTCAGATACTGGATAATGAATATTAGCATAAGGATTTGTTTATTTCTTTTTAAGAAATTATTTGATAGGATCTTGAAGTTAGACGGAATGCTGAACTACTGGATTCGATGGAGCTCTTTGGTTTATGACTGCGCTACTGCTATGGAATCTTCTACTCTTGTTCTAGAGACTAGACTCCGCGGCGCATTCATCAATAGGTAGGCTAATGTAATTGAACTTTAAACTAAGTTTCGGATTTGGGATTAATAATCCTCGAACTTTCCTCATAGAATTCGATCCATATGATGAGGAACGAGTATCCAGACCATTCCACAGAACATTAATTGAGAAGGTCACTTTCTATGCCATTTCATAAATTTGCCCTTTAGTTTCCAACCTCAAATATGAGTAGAGAAACAAGAGACCAACTAAAATATACTTTTGGGAGTAACACTAGAGGGACTATCTTTGGGCATGTTCCTAATGGTGACATACCAAGTTAAGCAAGACAAATTTCATTTCTGCAACCAATGATTAAAATCTTGAGTTGGTGAGATTTGGAAAATAATTGCAGACAAGTTAGACTGAATTTGTAGAAAGCACTTTCTAGCAACAGAGGCAGGTTTCTAGCAACTAACATGCTGGACTTGTAAGATATTTTTATCAAATAACAGAATTCAGCAGATTTGATCAAATTGATTTCAAGTCCTAAATAAGCCATAGAAGCAAGAGGAAATTTCAGAATATATCATTTATTGGGCCTTCAAAGCTTCCACTCAACAACTGTAGGGCTTATGGTTCAATCCAAAAGGTACTATTAGTTGAGTATCCCAAGCCTTAAATTCCCATTATCTACCCTGAGTCATGGTCATTGACTTCGGCAGACTCGTTCTAATCTAAGAGAATTCAATAAAATGAGGAAAATATGGTTGTATAATAAAGTTCCAAATTTGAACAATATAGCATAATAGACTAGCGATCTTCTCTTGTATTAATATGGTTGTATAATAAAGTTCCTGCTTTAGTTTTGAAAATTGAAAAAAAGAAAAAAAAAATTACTCGTAGGTAAACCGCATTGGTTCACTGGGTTATTAGAAAGTCGGTCAGTTTATTCAGATGTCTACCGGTTCAGCAATTAATTATTGGAATATACTAACTCAACTGGACCGAGGCTGTCTCATCTGAATATTTACCTGTTCAACTGTTAGCGATTGAAATATATGAGAGTCTGGTTTGTTGGGTTTGTCCAATCCAATTCGAGTTTAATAACTATGTGTACAAGACTCGTTAAAATAAAACTACACGACCCTTATATTTTGACCTTATAATATTGATTTGCTAGGTTAACCTTTTCTTTTTTTCAGTTTTGTGCAATACTCGTTGATGAAATAAATAGAATAATTTTTTCTTCTATTTTGACTTCATAACTTTAGGTTTCTTGGAGGGACTGAAGAACAGAAAAAAAAAATGACTATTTCCGATTCTACAGGATATGCATGACGATAATTGTTTTCCCCATTCTAATTTGACTAGTAAAAGAGGCATTCTCTTTTCTCCACAGTTGCCTCTCATGGATCGCTTTGCGTGGAATCTGGAATAGAAACATTCACCACTAAAAGGAAAAATGGTTTTTGCTGAAATACTGAAAATGGTAATACATATAATTCATTTTCCTCTTCTCCATTCCCTAAAGAATAAATAAATAGAATCTTCTTTTTCCAATCTTTGGAATTGATGTGTGCTTTATTTTTTTCTGACCAGGTTTTTACTTGATGACTTGCGTATTTTTACTTTAAATAATTCTATTTATTGTTGGACCGAATTATGATTAAATTATTTTTCATTTTCTGGAATAACTTGTTATGCTTTTTCTTGCTGACAAAATGATGGAGGTTAATGGGACAACAATTCAATTTCTGATATTATTCGGTAATTAATGGGGTGTAGGTGTATCTTAGGATAAAAAGATATCTTATTAATATAGAAATCTTGCATCCCTCATTTATTCATTCTCTGGCAACTCTGCCTTTCTGCCTAGGAGGAACACATTGTTTTGATGATAGACAAATGCCTTAATTATATATACTTTCCCAATACCCCGTCATGTCGTCAACCAGAATTTTAGCTATTTCGTCGGGAGGTTCCATAGTCCAGCGTTGTATCTCTGTTTCATTAGTTGCCATTTCTGCTATTTTCGCTGCCGCCCTGTTGGCATATGCCGCTACAGGGTGAAATTTCACCAGTTTAAATTGTCGTAAAAGTTTACGGCATTTATGGACGATGGGTCTTATCGAGGGCGCAAGTGGTGCCTCGTCATCAATAACCAGCTCCATTGCATATGGCGAATGTCCCTCAACCTCAAGGTAATCAATGCCTTGTACTACTGCTTCTTGTAGACCCAAATTAAGAGCTACAAGTTTCGCTTCGATGTGGCTGAAATCATTTGGCAATGGCTCTGCACGAGCGGCTTTGAAGATGCCATGATGCTCGCGAAGGACATAACCAGCTCCTCCATGCCTCAGCCCATTAGGGGCACAGGCAGAGAAATTTAGCTTCCACGCATCTTCCACTGGTGTTGTCCAGGCAATGGTATGTATCACTAGAATAGAGCTGCGAAAGTAATGATATCGGCGAGGTTTGGGTTCATAGCCTAGACTTATGGTTCCCATTGTTGACATTGTTCAATTGTGCAATAAGGTAAAAGTTGTTGTATAGAGACTGTTTGGTTTATACATGAAGCACTATTCACTATTTATAGGAAATAATTAGTAATCGCATTCTGCTCTAGAAATTAGGGTCAAAAGGTATATACGGTAATCTATAACGGCTAGTTCGTGGTCAATAATTTGTAAAAGTTTCCCAACGGTAACATAACGGGTAAATTATTAATAACCTTCAGTGGTGATTGATGGCACTAAAATTTAAATTTTCCAGTAAGGCACATTATTATACAACTCATTTGGAAACAGCTGTAGTATTAATGAAGGCTTGTTGTATTAGATTTTTTTAGTTCACGAAGAATTTGAATTTCAAGCTTTCTCTGCTTGGGCTTGAAAGAAGGATACGAAGATGCTGCAAGATTATGCCTTGATTACCTTCCTTTTATTTTTCTTTTTCGTGTCCTTATATCTCATACTTTATAGAGTGCAGGCATTAACAATCTTTTGACTGGTTATTTTGTAATCCACCCTTAAAGACATCCTTTCTGCTACTTTGCGAAAAGTTCAATTTAGATACAGGACTATTACTACTGCATTTAGATTATACGCGTATTAAAGAGTAATCTGTTAAAATTGATGGTTTATATAATGTCTGCTTATCCATCTTTATTGTTAATCTGTAGGCAGATAAATCGTCTTATGCCTAACCTCAACTTAACTAGAGGCTTATTCCATACTTGTCTAGCGACTACATACATCCTCTTCTTCTATTCTACTTTATCAAGTGCCCGAGGTTGACACAAGAGGGTCCAACATGTGAGATTCTATCAAATGGGCTTTACAAAGAACTACTATGCATTTGTCATTACTTCGTGAAAATGGTTAATCGAAGTTGGTAGGGAAACCTATTACATGGTTTGGACAAAAATTAAATTGTATTCCATAATAGTGTTGGATACTTGTAAACAAGTAATCCACTACACCAAGTCAAGTACTTTTTAATTACTTCATTTCACTTACTTTTAGATCGAACTTTTACTTTACAATCGATACTAGTTTAACCTTGTTTTGGTTGCCTTTGTGAACTGTCTAACTATCTCGAGTGTAGATGTTTGTCTTTGTCTATCTGACCTTAATTCAACTCTTGAATATGCTAATTTCTGACAAGGATCTGGATTATCAAAGGGTATTTACTTTGGTAGTGAAGAATAATAAGAATGTAAACGTAGGCTTTCAAAAGGCCTACTATCTCGACGCAACTCACTCTTATTTTTTTTCTCAATGCATCCACAGACTCCCTACCCTTTATTTATTTGGTATGCAGTATATTTTCCCAAAACTTCCCTTCTCTTTTCTTGATGCTTCTTTCATGCTTCCCTCCATTTTCCTTGTTTCTTCCCTCCTCTTTCCTTGCTTGTTGATTCTCTCCTGCTTCCATTCTCTTTCCTTGCTGATTCCATCCACTTTCTTTACTTGTTGCTTCCCCTCACTTTCATTGCTTGCTTCTTCCCTTCACTTTCCTAGCATCACATATGTCCAAAGGGTTTATCGCTATTCCATCACCAAAAATCCTCATTTCCTCAAGGTGAAGCAGTTTTGCTAATCAGGTGGTTTTGAAGGGGTCGATTATCCTTGTATATATGGGCTGGCATTTTTCCCTGACTGGGCTCTGGTGTACAAATGCCTGTGAGGAAATTGGTTCGGTTCTCAACTTGCAGGGCCATTTCCATCATATTATGCTTCTGCAGTCAACAAGGACCGTCACATCCTTAAGAGCAATATGTCCCTGAGTGTTTGCAGATTTGTCATCCCCACCATGGAATTAAGCAAGAGTTCCTCCATCGCCATACCACTGAGCTCATCCTTATCTTCTAATTTATCTTCCCTCATAATATTCTTGGAGAAATCTGCTCAACCTGAATATTCAGACATTAGGATCTTAATTATTGTGCTGGTATGTCCAATCGCCTGGGTTCAAATCATGATGCTTCCTTGCAACTCCCTCCCTCTCCAGTAATGTCTCAGTGTGCATTGGTGGAAAATTGCATTGCAACCTGTTTAATTTCTGGAGATATCCTCTTATAGATGCTGATGCCCTCTGGATTTTGTTGCAAATTCATCTGTCCTTCCCTCTACGGTACCGAGTTCTTCTTCCTTATCTTTTCTGCTATTTACCCAGGTTAAATGCTCTGATACCACTTGGATCTGAATTTTTTCCATTTTTTCCTGCTAGTGAAGTTGGAACTTTTCTGCAGCAGACAAGGAGCAACAGACCTACCACACGTGATTTTTGATCTTTTCTTTCTTTTATATTTTTCTCGTTGTCTAATAGTTTCTTTTCTTTTCTCTTGATTTATTTTCTTTTAATTCAAATAATCGAAATTCTTGAATAAGTACTTAGTTTTTCCATTTGTTTTAACAAATTGCAATTAGATTTTTAGGTTTCTTAAATGTTTTATTATGAATTGTTTAGATAATGCTTGGTTTATTATGTGTCCAATTGTGCTTTTTTTTTTTTTTGGGAAAAACTGAATCGTTTAATTGATTTATGTTGGCCCATGTGATTACTTGTGTTACGAGGTAAAATGCCATTATATTAGTTTAACCTTTTTAAATAGTAATTTCAAGATCTTTAACATCTAGTATCACTCAAGAAATGTTTTCGTATTCAAGTAATGCATTTCACGGTGTTTGATGTGACTTTAATGTTTAAGATAATCTCTTCAAAACTCTAACTACTCATTCATACTCTTGCATATTTGTAGACACGTATAATTTGTATATACATTTATATACTCACACACGTCCACTTGTGTGTTTTACACATACAATACATCTACATGCACATACACTCTTAAACATAAATGTCACCTTATATATACTAGCACTAAATGCTTAAAAGACATCATATAGCAGAGCGGTTTGGCCATGTAATGAGCTGATTCCTGATTTCATTGGTACATGAAATACTGTCAAGGTTCAGCGGCTTCGAAACTGAAAATGGACCCAGAATTAGTCCTGGAGTTAGTTTATGTAAGGGAACTGTTTCACTCTCTTGGTTTGGGGTTTTCTTTTCTTACTGGGCAAAGAAGCCAATTGGGCTGTCTGATATTACATGTTCGAGGATTGAAAGAAGTTAAGGAATAATAGAAAGGATGTAGAAGAAAGAAATCTTAGTTACTCACATTTTCATAATAGTTTCAAGGTTTGAAGTGTCTCTCATTATTGGTAATTGGTTGATATTTTACAAGATATCTGAATTGTATATAGAGATTTGTTATACTCCTAGTTTCTTGTAAGACCTTTTCTCTCCTTTCCTGAAACCTGAATACGTTGTGTTTTTGTCTTGTGCACGATTTCCTGGAAGTGACTCACCATCTTTTGTAATCTTATTGATTTTTCCTTTCTCAAGTTTGTCTTGGTACATTAATGAAAACAAGCAATCTAGAGCAGAGAGGTTTGAGTTTATAATACTATTGGTGACCACTGGAATTAGCTTGCCTGAAGCTCTTGAAGTTACTTATAGACTGCAGGTATCATTTATGTCTGTCAACATATCTGTGCACATATTTGATGAAGATATCTGATGCTAAGTTGTAATGAAGAAACAATGGCAACTTATCTTGATTTAAAATTGTGGTGAAATCTGGCCATCTAGCATTTATAGTAAAATGGATGTGATGCCAACTTCAAAAATTGATGGTACTGAAATAAGAGCATTAACCTTTTTTATTTTTATTTTTTCTGTAAATAGATAGAATGGGAGATCTATTTTAACTTATATTCTATCTTAAGTTGCACCTAGACAGATTATTATTATTGTTATTTTTATTATTTTTTTAATTTTTTTTTTTAGTTTAATACTAACAAATTTTATACTTGTTGCATCATAGTTTGGAGGATACCCTTGATAAGTTTAAATTTTTTGAGCATAAGAATTGTTGAAGCAAATCACGCCCTGCTACATCAAAAAATTTCAGTTGCACAAATTCATCAAACATTGCCAATATCATAGAGATTATCATGATGAAATTTTTTATGACCGTTTCATCATTGTGAACTCCAGTTTTCCAATTGCATTTCTCCTATGAAATTTAGTGTTTGTCAACTTTCATCGCTGCACCAATGTTCTTCGAAGCACTTGTCCAATTGGTACCATGATTCAATTTAATTCATTCTTAAGGGAAATGTATTGGGTTCAAATCTTGGAGAATGCAGCAGAAAGTCGTAAGGGGTAAGAGGGCCAAATGCACTTCTAAAATGGTTAATACGTATGATATAACGGCTTGGGTAAATGGCTCGGTTCGTTACAAAAAAGATTTAAAGTGTGAACAATATGTTGTGTCCAAAGCTATACCCAATTATTTGACTTGTGGCTTTTCGATTTGGAGCATTATTAGCTATTACCTAAATGATCTTTTTGTAACTGCTGGCTTGTTTAGCTTCATGGAGGGTCGAAGGCCGATGATTTGAATGAACTCGATTTTACGCAATTTCAGGCGAGGATGTGGAACATTCCTGGTCATTGGAGGCCCTGCATGATGTTGAGGTCAATGATGTGGACGTGATTAGTGCCATTGAAGGACTACCGAATGGCATGGTTGGCTGTGAAATGCAATAATCCGTACTCTCTTAAAAGTGTGAATCCACCATTTACTGTTCATTTATGAAGTACTTTGTTTTTCCCATTTTATCCTTCAATTCTATTTTACTAATTTCCAAATAGGGGGCTTAATGGTCTTTTACATATGGATACAAAATATCTCATTACCAAAAGTTTCTCACAATAACCCTAAATTTCTCTCGATGGTAGAGGCAAAAGAGAACTCCCTGCAAATTCAATCGACGACTATGGTCGAGGAACAGAATATCGTAGGTGTGATAGAGGTGAAGGTAATAGTCGGGGAGAGAGGCGGTGGATGATGCCAGCCAATCGTGGCGATATTGCTGGAGAACAGGACTTGATGATGGTGCTAACGACCTCTATAGCGTTGCTCATTGGGTGTGTCGTGATTCTCATGAGGCGCTGTGTTGTGGGATCGGCCAAGAAGGTGGTGGTGCCGCCATCGAAATCGATGGTGTGCAAGGCTGTGGTGGAGCTGGAGTAAGTGGATGATGAAAAGAAGAAAATCAACATTTTTATGGGACCCAAACTGGTACTGCGAAAGGCTTTGCTAAGTTAAAAAGTTATTTTATCTCTATGATGAATCTCCAAAGAAAAGCGAATAAAGAAAAATGACTTTGGAATTTTCTGTAAGAAAAGTGAATGACTAGAGTTTTAAATTAGTGCCGAAAGGTTAAAACAGAAGTAATACTCTTTTTGTCGCCACACCTAGTATAACTTTCTTATTTTCACAGAAGTTTACTTTTCAACTTTTAAGTAAATTTACTTTGAGGCAATATATAGAAGTTGACAGGGACGGTCAAATTAATTAATAATTGAAAATAAGTCGAAGGTAAGGAGGTTTTCAGGGAAATTACTTAATTTCTGCTTGCACAATGTAACGGCTGCAAGCACCTTATTTTGACTGTATTTAGTGAACTAACTATTATTTTTGCTGTTGTATCAGGCACTTGCTGAGGAAGCTAAAGCTAGATATGAGAAAGCCAAGTTTAAAGTGAGAGATATGGTGAGTTTTCGTGTTCATTTTCCATTTTAGATGGAATATTCTGTGTGTATGCTTTGCTTCTATTGAGTAAATCTATAAGATGATTATGCATCCGATATGAAGAGTATAAGGAGAAGTTAAGGAAGGAAACTTTGGCATTCTTCTTTCTTGAAACGTAAATTCACCAATTCTAACTTCTAGCCATATCTGAATTAGATAAAAACACAAATTTGTGTAAATGTATGTACCAAATGTATAGTGATTAGTTATTTGTGTGCATATGATTTTAATTTTCAAAAATGAATGCATAACTGCATCTACCAAAAAATTGGACGGTAAATGAGTTAGTATGCAATTTAAGTTTTGGTGGTTGTTTGCTGGTTGCAGATATGGTGATGGTGAGCCTATCAACAAAGCGGCAATGTTCTAAAAATGGTTTATGGAGGAAAAAGATAGAAGGGATTAGCTTAAGAATCTTTAGTGCGGAGTATTTGGCCTCAGAAACAGGCAATATGAGCATTTGCCTATTTCAACCCCATTATTGAAAAATTAATAATTTTTCAAACTCATTTTTAACCATACACTCTCAACAAAATAATTTGCACATAAACCCAATTGTTTTTCTACTTTTTAACCACATGTTCCCAAAAAATCACTGTCACACTGTGTATTCTTTGGTAAAAAAGGGGGCTCAAACAAAGGCTAATTATTTAAGAATTACAAAATTGTAAAATGCAACCTTTAAATGTAACTGTTGTCTAATATATTGTATTTAATCATTTACTTTCTTCGATATCATCAAAAAATTTCAAAACCATACATGCATGTTTATTGAAGTTAAAGGGATACTTCGGAGACAGAATAAGGTTTCCTAATACTTTGCATGTTTGATGACCATATACTCATTTATTCAAAGAATAAGATCTCCTTTTTCTTTATTAATAAAGCTTTTCTCATCTTTATTTCATTTTAGATGTCATTTATCCCAAGTGTGCAGCCTTTCCTTGCAATAGCATATCGGGTTTGGGTTCTTGATAAATTATTTGTGTGCGCTTAGAAGTTGCTGATGGAATGTATTTTTTATTGGGGTTTTGCAAAGGCTATATCATCTTTAGATCAGGTTGTGAATATCTTTTGGAAATCAGCAGACTCAACATGCCTGCATTGTATTGCAAGGTACATTCCCACTTTGTATGTAGATTTTAATTAGATGAACAAAAACTACTGGAATTCATTCAGATTCTGTCAATAAATAAATGATTATACAAACTCATTTAATTTTCATTCTCAACATTTTTTTATTTTTTTTAGCTAAAGTTGTCCATCGGAAGGTTCTGAAGTTTTGGTTTATGGTAAAATAATTTAACTAATTGTTTAAGATAGCACTTAATCCTTTGAAGTCAAGACTACATTAATGGCATTGATAATTTTATCACTTCTGCTGCTAATTGTTTTACTTGCTGCATTGTGAGTGATTTACCTAATGAGCAATTCTCACAAGAGATTTGATTGCCTAAGATCAGTTGTAGGGAAGATGATTTCTTTGATTTGATCAGGTGATAGTACTTCTCTATAGCTCTCCACCATGTAGAAATAGAAGGTTGAGCCTTAGATTTTGAAGACAATAATGAGACAATAAACTTAGATATTATGGCTTTCTAGAATGGCTTGAAATTTCCATACCAGATGAGATTAATGGTGATCTTGCCATAAGTATTTCAAAAGCATAGGATCTTGATTTCCCAATATTGTTGCTGTAGAAGCAAAACTGATCAACAAAAATACAGATATCAAGATCATATTGATGGATAAACTGGTTGCCATTTTCAATTGGGATTTCATATGAACAAAAAAGTATAAGAAAATGAGTATTCCTTTGTTTTCGTGAGAATTTCATGGTGGAAATGCTGATTTCAGGCGGTTCTTTATATAGGGATCGGATAAGAATAGAGGATGGTGAACAATGCAAGATGCATTATTAAGAAAGACACATTTCTAGAAGTTAAAATTATGTTAAACATTGAAAGAAAAACATAATATATGTTGAACATAAAGTGTGTTAAGTCATTAATTTATCCCACTTGCCAATTTTGTTATGCAATTTTTGAGAATCATCAGCTAGTGAACTTTTTGTCGAAAGTTTATGAATCTTCAAACCAGCACCTGACTGTGCATAGGGTCCCATTTTATTTTTTAGTTGGTGAAATCAACAACTGCAGTGCGCGCAATCTCTACTGAGTAAGATTTTTGAAACAAATTCGTTTAGCCAGGATAATTGCTTCTTTGGTTGTTCTGGTGATTTTTATTGTTTCATCTGTTTCAGAGTTTGTTAAAGTGGTCATCTCTCAATGCTTCTTAATGTTCCTACATTTAAAAACTTAGTGCTCATCATTTAGAAGATGAATTCTATGTATTTTTGAATCATTAATTGATGAAAGGATTTTCAATTCATGGGTTTTAATGGTTATCTTTTGTTACATTTTTACATGATGAAAGATAGTATAGAAATTTTCGTCAAGTGAAATTTAAGTATATCAATAGAGACATAACATAATGACTACTATTTGTTTTGTTCACAGCATGTTTACGATTTTGATTCTTCTCTATGGTTTGATGATCAGAATACCATAGATATTAGAACTTGCATATTTATAAAAAAAATTAAAAAATAAATAAATCAAATAGGACTTGAAAATCCTGATTTAGTTAAGCATCATGAGCACATGAATAAATTAGATATTTAATCTGATTTTGTGTGTAGGTTAAGGAAATAAAGGACACATTCTACATTACCTTTGCATATGACACTTGTGATGAACTAAAGATTTTGATGAATAAGGTTCTTAGAAACCTCCTCAGGGTTAGGTACTGAGATGAGGTGTTTGTTCTGTTCATCAATGTGCAGATGCCAAGTATGGGGAGCGTGTACACATTCTTCTCGTGCATGATACCATTGAAGGGGTTACTGAAACTTGTTTAATGCTTACTTGAATGTAAGTTTCTAAAACCTCTAAACTTGTGTTACTTTTTAGAGTCGTTTAGTCTAATTAAATATTTGTGTTTTTTCCTTTGTGATACTATAGATCCTTGTCATTTTGTGATGAATCTAAAATTGAAATGTTGGTTCTTGTTTATTGTTCAATTTTGCGTGCATCTCTGAGTCTTTAATGAATTTAGTCTATGTAGAGCGGAATCGTAATGGAATTTTTTTTTTCCCATTCAATTATGAGAGTTTCTAGAAACGATTATTAGAGTTTGAATGCATGTTATTTTACATGCATAAATTGTTATATAATTTTCAATTTCTTGTAAAGGTCCACCCACCCTGATTTCTCTTGTTTGTTAGCACTACTGATAGTTCCATCTTAAGTTGTCTTGTTTGGACGAATACTTGTAATATTTATTATCTCGCTATGATTGTGTCATGTTGTTTATCTGGTTCTACACTGGGCTACAAGACCAAGAGGAGGAATCAATGAATGGTTACACTGGCTTCCTGTTTTCGTCCTTAAAAAGTTTTGTTACATTATTAGCTGATTTATATTTATTCCCGAATTTTGATGGCTATAAGTGAAAAGAAATTGGTGCCTTTGCCTATGGAGAATGATCATTCTGTAGGACTGTCATCCATATTGGAAGCTGATGTGAAAAATATTGTAAGCTAGGCTAAAGAAACTTCTGTGAAGTCAGTCTGTTCTTAATTCTATCACACACAAAAATTAAGGGAAAGTCCATCTTAGTATAGCAATAGCAAATATGGAGTTGAAGATATAATTCACGAGAATCAATCACATTTAATGCACTAACATTACCTTCAAAATAACTCAATCCGTACATTGCACGGCAAAGACTAGTTCGATTAAAAGGGTGATGGACTTGGAGGGCATTGAGGAGCTTGTCGCATTGTAGGAGAAGGCCAAGGATGTGGAATCATCTTTGGTTGATGTGTTCTGGAGGTGTTCTTCCTCTTGTTCTCGGAAATTGATAAAGTCATTGGCCGGAAAAAAGTGAGATTGGCGTGCTTGAATGTTAAGGCGGCCAAAGCCATATCAACGTAGCATTTAATGGATATAATCGACAAGGACGAGAAAGAAGCATCGCTAAAGGTGGTGGTTCAAACACAACTTAATTGAAGGACAATAATGGGATTATTACAAAGTTGTTAGGTGTCAGCACTGTTTATGTTGCCCAATCGAATGGTGGTTGGATTTATACGATGACCATTATTTTGGCACATTAGAAAGATAAAAAAAATTATCGTTGTCATTTAGCTTTATTTTAATGTGAATATTGCTGATATTTTTATGGTTGATGACAAGGAAATAATATCATAAAGTGATTCATCAAATTTTCAGGTATTTTTCATATTTTTTTATTTGGTGAAGAGATAAAAAGCATGTGGCTTATAGCCATGGCTTCATTTTATTATTGTCAACTTCTTTGACCTACTTCTATATACAATACTGGAATCTTAATTATTTATGAATGTGCAAAAAATACTTGGCATTTTGTTTATTTTTCTCTCTTAAATTTTTATGATATGGGTTTTAGTATTTGTTACATTTTATTATATCGTTGCATCTATAACATATACACGTTTGATAAGAGAGTTTTATCTATTAGATAGTCTATCATATTTTGTAATTGTTAAAGTTTCATATATCGAAAACTGTAGACAATTTCAGCCACATGACCCGATAAAAATTACAATTCCGCTACAGTGACTGAATTTTTTGACAGAGGAGGTGATCGATTCTAACAACGTCGAACCCACTTTTTTTTTTTTTTTTTGGGAATTGTTTTATTCATGCTAGACTCACGACATGTCAGAGGATGTCAATCAAAGGGGGTAAAGTAGCAAAATTCTAAAACTTATGGAGCAACTCTTCTTTATCCAATGAATATCAACACTAAGAAATAGAAGGAACAACACCAATAATACATAAATAGTGTCAAATCAATCCAGACATAAATAATATATGAAACTGAAGCACAAATTATGATTCATGAATGTGAACCAACTCCTTAGAAACAAGCATCCAATGCGCAGCAGCAACACAACGCAGCACAACTGCATCAAAAAAAAGTGAAAATTATGGCACATTGATTTTAGACACGTCAAAAGGAAATAGATAGAGAGATGACTCACCATCCCCTCCAGAAGCCATCACCCCGAGACTGACTTTCCTCGGTGGTGGGGCGGAGGTCCTGATCATGCTCATCTTTTACGGGATAACCAGCCGGTGGTGGTGGTGCCATGACTGTCTCTGGTTTCCCTTCATCCGGATATGTAGTGCCTGCTGGGGGAATATTATTATACTTCAAAACAACATACTAAAACAAATTCCGTAAAGGGAAAACTGAAAAAGAAACAAGAAACAAACCTTGAGACTGATTGTAGCTACTCATTTTGATGATAAAGATATCAAAACAGAATGAATAATATTGTTTGGTAAGATTCAAGAAATCAAATGTGTATGTGTGTGTATATATAGATAGAGATATGGAGATAGAGAAAGACACGTAAGCTATCGGTGGAGCTGTTGGTATAGGAGTGGTTACGTGTGGAGGCGGCGACACCGGGTCAAAGGCTGTATGTAAAATCCAAAAGAGGTCCTACAATTAGTTATTTTTTATGACCATCTTTTTCATGCTTGCATAATTTGCAGACTTTTTTTCCCCCTTTTGTTGCCTATAATTAGGATCGGGATTAAAATCAGATTTTTAAGTATATTTTGATAAAAATTAATGAGATATATGGTTGAAAAGTTGTGAATCTCATAATACATGTGGTTAAAATTAGATGTTGACTTTGACTTATATTAAAATCTGAATTTTAATATGTAACAAACAGTCGCTTAATTCTTAAGCCTCATCTGCATTGCATTATGTGAATAGAGAATTTATTAAACAATTCATATTGTTAATTATTTTTTGGTAGAATCCAATTGATGAATGATACAACACGTGAAAGATCACAAGATTAAGAAAAGAAAGCAATATTTTATTTTTATTTTTTTAATTATTTTGATTTTTGAAACGAACTAATCAAGAAGAGTTGGAAATTTTAGTAAAAGGAAAGAATGACGAGCGTAAATGCATAGCTACACTCTTGACTTTTGTGTTTTTTCTCCACTTTTTTCTTATAATCGGATTGAAAAATTTTTGTCACTGTTTTAAGATTCGATGAACATGGTTAAAACCAATCTCCAACTATCAAACTAGTATTTGATTTCTTGAATTTGGTAGAGCAATTTCCACGTTTAATAGATTTAGGTTGTTGTAGAGCAATGCATTGGCACGAGATAAGGATGTTTTTTTTATCTCAATTTGGTGGTTGAAAATATTCAACTGTGGTCTTGAAGTGGATTAGGAATTTAGGAACGATGATGGTGAGTTTGGTTACATTTCGATGAAACTAAGAATATCAAAATGTGGAACATTTTCTTTAAATTTTAAATTTGCATTTTAGAGCGCACTATTTGATTTTGTAATTCCAAAACAAATTACTGGTGCTTCTTAACATATTTTCCATTCGGGGTGTTTTAAATTTGGTGTTCATACAGTTTTATGTTTTTTGAGCTGTGATTCCTCTTGCGTCTAGCTAACAAAGGTAATCCATTTGCAACTTCTCCTTCGACTCCTTGAAAAATAGAGCACAGAATTGAAAATTGGGTTCTGCTGAAGAAACAGGGTGGCTAACAGCCTCCCTGACCGAAACCCCACAAACAGGGCCAATCGAGCAACCCTTGAAGCTGTTCTTCGAAGAGCCCCTCCAAAAACCAGATAAGAAAATTGAAAAAAACCAAGTAGTAGCATTGAACAGATGAAAGTTCAATCCCATCTCAAACAAAGAATCTATTTTGAACTCATGTCTGGGATCGACTCAAGAATTTGAACTCAAGCTCGGTTAAATCCTGTGACAATTTCTTGCACTTCGCTATAACTTCTTATATTTTTTTCTATCATGTCTACTAAATAATCAGCTCTCTCATTATGAAATCGAGTGTTTTTTTGGTAATTTTTTCCTCAATTTTGATATCAGGTAAATAATTTTTTTAGAGAGAACAATTTGATGCTGTTATGCATTTAACAGTTGTTGCTTATGTCGGTGAAAGTATAGCTGAACCTTAAAAATGTTTTGAAAACAACATTAAGTACTAGTAACTTGTTCACCACTTATTTTTATTCACACGTTTCGAAAGATGCTAAGTACTAATCATTATTTACCACTTATTTTTATTTATATGTAATTTAAATCATTCATAAACACTTTCGAAACGTGCTCCTAGTTATACATTGACTGTTTTTATTGGTACTTTTCAATCTCAATTAAAAGAGAAAAAATTGCACTGATCGTGTGTTATGAAAGACAAGTCTTTTTCGGGTGGTGGTGGGTCTATTGACACCCATACCCTGTTCAAGTCCAAAGGCCTCATTCTTTGTCGCCCGAGCATAACAATTACAGAACTTATCGATTTGATAGGGGTATTATTTCAGTTGTTCCTCCACTAAACCAATTTTATTTAAGTTGTCGGCGTGGTATTGAGCCTATTGACACCCAAACCATGCTCAAGTCCAAAGGCCTCATTCTTTGTCGCCATCACAATTACAAAACTTATCGATTTGATAGGGGTATTATTTCAGTTGTTCCTTCACTAAACCAATTTTATTTAAGTTGTCGGCGTGTATTGCGCCTATTGACACCCATACCGAGTTCAAATCCAAAGGCCTCATTCTTTGTCACCCGAGCATCACAATTACAAAACTTATCGATTTGATAGGGGTAAATTTTCAGTAGTTCCTCCACAAACCAATTTTATTTAAGTTGTCCGGGCTATGTTGCTCCTATTGACACCCAAGCCCTGTTCAAGTCCAAAAGCCTCATTCTTTGTTGCCCGAGCATCACACAATTACAAAACTTATCAATTTGAAGGGGTATTATTTAAGTTGTTCCTCCACTAAATCAATTTTAATCTTGTTTAGAATGTTGATGGCTTATCTTCCAATTCAAGGAGCTCCACAACCTTTAGTGTGGGAGGAGGTGCAAAAAGGGTGGCTAATGCGGGTTTAAGTGTCAAGAGGTGCGTTTAATGCAAGTCTAGATATCAAAAGGCGATCGTCTTCTATTTTTCCAAAATTTTTAATTTCTAATGATAAAAAAGATAATTAAAAAGATTTTATAATAAATAACTTAAAATAATATTAAATAAGAAAATATTTTATTGCTCCTAGGCTTCTAAAATTTGAGGTTCAATCTTGTCGCCTTATCATATCTTGTGCTTTTTTAGAACCTTACTCATTACATATGTGAATTAACACGAGTAATATTACTTACAATCAATGATGTCACAATTTAGGTTGCAGTAAAGAATCTTTAAATGCAAATAACGCGTGTAAAAAGACCATTTCATTATACAAGAATTAACTTGCATATATTTATGCTGATTAAGGACCACTTTACAATTTTTTGTCTTTTGTCAAGGAATATAATTTGTAAATAATATTTTTATATCATTTCAGCATGTCAACTAGTTTCACTACAGTCACTTTTCTTGAAATCATAATTGTCCATGAATAAGCAAGGGTCATGTTGTGTTTTGATACCCAATAATTCAGGCGATGATTTAAAATAGTTGTCGGATTATTTATCGACACCATGGACTTGACTCGACTCGGAAATAACCTAAACTTGTGGATGGTCCAAGTAGTAGTTGGGTTATTAGATTGTGGGTTTTGGATTAATTGGTAGCCCATTTGCATAAGTCTTTGGCTCAAGTTGTAAATTTTGCCTATGAGTAAAATACAACTAGCCCTACTTTTTAAGTTTACATTTCATTAATCAGTTTTTAATTTTAATCTTTCTTAAATCAGGTTATATTAAATTATTTAACATCAAATTTCAAATACAATATTAACAATCGATTACTAATTAATTATTGTCTTTTACGTGAATAGTGGGAGAGAGAAAACTTATCAAAATTTATTCTTCTTTCTTCCACATCCAGCAAGAAAGAAGTCAAAATCCATTCTTCAATTCAAGATTCCACAATAGTCAAGATATTAGATATTTGAAGCCTCCATCGTTTGTATTATTATTAATTATATTTTCCCTAATTCATTTTCTCAAATACCCTATTTTATAGTTCAAGATTTTATTGAACACTAACTCATTACAAACCCAAATCGAGAGTGGTATTAACAAAGAGTGTATGCCGAAAATCTCATTGAAGGATGAATAGGAGAATGGAAAAATTAGGATTAAAAAAAACTAAAAGCACAGAAAGATCTTCATTCCAAAAAACAAAAAAACAAAAAATTCCTAAAAAATTGGTTCCGGTGGAAAATCTAGTTTGAAGAATGTACATCAATTCATAAATTTTTAATCCAATGTTTATTTTATTTTGAGTTCATGGGCAAGTTGTATTTGTATTTTATTGGGAGATTAGGATTTCATAATGTTAATTTAACTACAAACCATAATCATTTCTTCCAATTGTGGTAGTAATCAAATGTTCTTCATTTATTTGTCAATGTGACTTGACCTTTGCTTTTATTGTGACGAAATTGTTCAATGGGATTTTGAAGATTGTGAACTAGTTCTCTACGACCATAATGTTCGACAGTGACATGAATCTTATAACCAATATAGAAATAGATAAAGGAAACATCTGAAGAAGAATGATTTAGTCGATGAAGTAACTTATTTCATCAAACTCAATGAAAAACTCATTTTTCTTACAATACATCCTACATTTGTTTTATATCTAGAATTTCTGCTATTACAACCTTGTTGTTATTGAAATAGTTCTATCTATGTCTGTGACCTGTTTTATCTATATTTGTGACATGAATGTTGTACCAATATTTGTGATTGTTTATTGTTGCGTTTTCTATCTGATATTGATGTTATATTTATTTAATATTCAAATGTAGGAGTGGAAGTACATTATTCCCGAAGATCTTTGGTCTCCAGAAAAAATACAATGATTGGGGCAAAGAATGTGCTAACAGAGTGATAATGGACATAGCTGCATTGCAGTTTAAGCATTGTCACATTAGACAAAAGGCAAAGGAGAAAAAATGTTACAAAATGATTTCATCAAATCCATTTCAAACATTATTTACTTGTATTCAATATTCAGAAGTAGATTGAATATTAAACTGACATTGTATAGTATGTGTTTGAACATATCAGTTTGATATGTTCATGAATCATTTAATGTTTAGTAATTAGTATTCTTTTTTGCTTTGACTATCTAGATCTTGTGAAGCATTTTATTTTCGTGTATGTGAAAATTCATGTCATGTTGTGTTGTATTGTCATTTCTTCACAATGAAAATTTATATCGATACGTTACAAGACTAAACATTGCGTGATTTAGTCTGAAGTTACAGGCAAAATTCACAGTTCACAAGTCACATATCACAAATATATTACAAGATTATAGGTTACAGGTCACATATAGGTCAATTGAAGTCACAGGTCAATGGTCACAAA